ATAAACTCATTGGAACATAAGAAGACCCCAGAAGGAGTCAAGTAAAGATGAAGACCTGAATAGCAGCAGGGGTGATACAGATGAGAGATTGGAACCGAAAGGAAATGCAGAAGCAAAACCAACAGACCCTGGCAACCAACTTGTATATGAACAGAGGGAAAGAACTTCAGGAAGAGAAGTTGCTTAAGAGGATGGCATTCCYAATACCTACATGCCTAGCACAACCAAAGGCAGCCTTGTCCTGGGTCGGCCACACAATCGATGCCCCTTCTCCCCTCTTGGTATCAGCCATCCCAGAACTTACTCAGCTACCTCGGGGTGCACCTGAGGCTTTCTCCAATATGACAAGAACATCCAAGGCCCTCTTTGCATCCCACCCCATTTGTTAGCAGCGTAAACACAAGAGTTTACCATCAAGGGGCGTGGTGCTCAACAGTATAAGGAATAAGACTTGGTCCTGAAGCAAGTSTGACAAAGAAGGATGTTTTTCTTGATATTTGACTTTTTCTAAAAATTTTGGAATTTAAAAATATATAAAAGGCAAAAAACTAAAATACACACGTTGTAGGGCTGGGGATGAAACTCAGTGGTCAGTGCTTGCCTAACACACACAGGCCCTGGATTCGATCCCAGCAGCAAGAAAGCAAAAACAAAACATTGCAAAAAAGAAATATGGRAGATGAAGTTGAGAAAATATCTCAGAAATCAGAAAAGTTCAACATCCACAAAGAAGCCATGGTGAAAAGAAAATAAAGAGAAAAAGTAAAGAAATAAAATAATCAAAAAAAATAATAATAATAACTCCAGAAAAGTTTCCCAAAGTGAAAAACATAAGTTTCTAGGCTAATATCCTACTSGTACCCAGAGTGAAGGACGAAAATGGAGCTTTGCTCACACATATCAGCATAAATTTTCAGAAATAGTGAGAAGGCTCTTTGCAACCCAAGGAGGCCCAGTGCTGGCTCTCATCTCTTCCCAGCACAGCCCCCCAGCTCCCTTCCCATCATCTCCCCTGAGCCATCAGATCCTGTCTCTTTCTTTGTAAAAGCCTCTCGTAGCTTTTACTGCACTGAGAATAAAGAAAATAAAGCGAGGAGGTTGTAAGTCTACCTCTCAAGCTTGATGACTCTTAAGAGCATGAACAGTTTGAATGAATGAGCAGAAAAGGATTGTGCTTCACAGACAGCTCCCCAAATGGAGTTTTCTTCTCCCCACTTATCTCACCTTTCTTTTCTTCTTTCCTTTTCCTTCTAAATTTTMTTTTAGGCGTCAATTCATACTTTCTTGATGTAGACTGCTGGCAATAGCAGTATCACACCGCATGAATTGTTCCTGAATAGGATTTTTAATGTAAGAAGTCATAATAAAGACTTCAAAAGAGAAATTGAGAAGCAGGCAATGTTCCCATGATAACCAACATTCTCTCGATTCTCTCTGGGGTCATAGTGAGGAAAAGAAGTAATATGTTGAACAAGGGGCAGATCCAGCCCACCAGGTGAGGCTTCTCAAATTTGCACTGACCGCCTTGACATGCTCAACATATGCCTACCCAAAGAGAATCAATGAAATGGAGCTCCAAGTTCTGTGAGGTAATAAACTTATCCTTTCAGTTTTGATTAAGTCAGTAGATATTTATTGAACATCTACTTTATGCTGGGTCTTTTTCAGGCATTAGGGACACAGCAATGAAAAGATGATCTATGTCCATGCCCTCTAACAGACTCTGCTCTAACGGGAGTCGGGAGTCAGGTAACACAGGAGACGGGATGGGATGACGGAATGCTCTGTGTCAGGGCGGCAGGTTTGTGAGGAAAGAATGCTTGTCAGACTCTGGAAAGATGCATTTCATGTGGAGTCTGAGTACTGAGAAGAATCCAGCCACATGATGAACAGGGAAGACCAGCAGAAGGAAGAACTAGAGTTAAGGTCCAAAGGTGGACACAAGGGAGACTGTTTAAAAAACAAAACAAAAAAAAGAGTACCAACAAGCCAGGACCATGAGGGAGAGGGCTCAAGATGAGGTGGGAGAAGTAACAGGAGCCAGACTATATCGCACTTGCAGGAAAAGGAAAGAGAATTCCTGGTAAAGAAATCAAAGTTCAAAATTAGGCATAAATAATTTTCCCTCCTTCTGTGCTATGCCACCCAAGAAGAATCCTGAAAGTCATAAGGTAGCTCATTGTGCCACCACACCCAGCAAGCTGGGACTGTGTTGCTGGCTTAAAGCGACATTTTCTCCATTGCAGGCTAGTCTGTGTTGCATCTGTCACGTTACTTCAAGGTACTTCTTATATTTTCATGTTCTTCCTTCCCATTTTGGTGTGCTCACTGGGCTGGTTCTCCTTACCCTATATACCGCATTTCTTTCCTGTTGCAGGCAAGAGTTATCCATCTGGATAAGCACAAGCTTATCTAGTTAGGACTTGCCAGCCAATTAAAACAAACCATTTCCCCCGTTCAGGGGGTCACTAAAACTGAAAGGCAACCACGGAAAGTCTTTGTTCATTAAGGTAACAGTAAGGTACAATGGAGATAAAACAATTTAAGTCAAAGGCTTTAAGGGACTCATTTTCCTGTGTCATTTTTGCTATAATGTACAACTGCCTCAAATAATTCAGGGATCAAAAATGCCAGGAGGAATKAATTCAAAACATAATACACCAACCCTACAGATGAACCGTGTTACAGAGGCATTCATAAATAAGGAAGTACTCCACTGAAGGGCAGACTTCTTAAACACTACAAAAGATGGATTTCTTGTTACTATTATAAAGCTAAGTCCATAAATTTGGGATGTCTTTTACAGTGGTCTTCTTTACTTAGAATAGCAAAATACCACCTAGAGTCCAATGAGAGTCTCTGACTCGGTGAACAGACACATCCCAAGATTGTCCCAACTCAGCACAGGCATAGATGACACACTAATATTTTGTCTTAACCTCACAGTCCTTCTCTCCATCCCACACTGCATCAGCCCACAGTCCTTGCTAGCTCTGCTCCTGCATCTCTAATCAAATCCAGGCCCTCCATTTCCACCCACGCTGCCTCGACTCATTTCTTATCCTCGCCCACGCAAACTTCTAACAGCCTCCAAACTTGTCTCCCTGATTTAGTGTCACCTCTGCTCGTCCTACCCCTCACACTCACACCAAGTCCCCTGCCTGAAATACATTTTGGATCTTATGATTCCTCTATTCAGAAACCTTAAACAGCTCCCCATCAAYTACAGAAGATTCTACGGCACACATGGCCTTCAGCATTCAGCCTACATTCCCGACTTCCTCCCATGCAGTTTTCCCAGTTATCCTGACACGACCTACAGAAGGCTATGGCTTTCCTTTAAACAGCCATAGTCATACATCATTTTGCTTTCTGGGCTCTATTCCCTGACTGTAATGTTCTCCACCCTCCACTGCCTCGAAAACCCCTACTGATTCTTCCTRGCACCATAGCATCACCTTCACTGTAAAGATTCCTGGCTCCCCGTGGCATAATTCAAAAAGTCCCAYGTGCTTTGCCACCGTAGCTTTTGCTACACAACATTCTTATCCTCTGCTGCAACACTGACACTTAAAAATTCACATGCAACATATGCAGTTTAAAACTTCCAGGTAGCCTCGCTAAAAAGGTCAAAAGAAACGATGAATTCTAATAATGTATTTCATTTAACTAGGTGAATTTGAGTACAAAAGAATACCTTTTCAACATATAATCAATACCAAAAAATAACAATTTTTCATGTCAATTCTTTGAAATCCAATATGTGTTATACACTTAGAGCATATTTTAAATCCAGACACTGACCTGTCATCAAAACTAACTGATCTATATTTAGATTTGACAAAATTTACGGTTGAAAAATTCATATTCATGTAGCCAAGTTGTTCTAAATATACTTGAAAGTTTTCTGATATCTATACCAAATATCAGGTTTTTTTWAATTTTCAGTTGAAATAAAAATCAAGCAGCATTTAAAAACCAGGTCCTCAGTCACAGTGGCTACATTTCAAGTGCTCTAGAATGCAGCCAGTGATTATTCTGTGGGATAATTCTGCTCTTCTGTAATTACCTGTGTCTTCATCTCCCTTTCCCATGACATTAGACCATGTCTAATTTACTCGTATCTTCCCATTCTAGTGTGAATGAGATTTGAGACATAATGGTGTTTTATGAAAGTTTGTTCAATAAACAAAGGTGTAAATCACTTGACTCTACCACAACACAACACTGAAAGCAAGAATATAAATGACGTTTTTATGAGTATCTCTGCACACTCACATACAATTCTTCATACAGACACACGCCTGCAGCATTCGTCATGACAACCAAGACATGGGAACAACTTACATGACCACTGTCTGATGATTAAAGAAGATGTGATGCACACTCACCTTGGGAAACTAAACTAAACCTCCAGCCTTAGAAAAAGAAGGAAACCCTGCCAGGTGTGGCCACACGGAAGAACCTGAAGGACTTTGTGCAGAGTGAAATAAGCCAGTGACCAAAGGACAAATATGACACACCCTCTGATATCAACCACAGGAGCAGAGGGTGGTGTGGAGGCCACCAGGGACTCAGGGAGGGAAAACAGGGAGATGCTATTCCATCATATAAACCTCTAGTTACACATGAATAAGTAAGTTCTAGAGACCCACTGTATAGGATTGGCTTTCACAATATCGTGTACCTAAAATTTTAAGACAGTAGATCTCATGTTAAGTGTTCTTATCACAAGGGAAAAAAGAGAAGAAAAGCAATAGAAAAAAAATCAGATCAAAACAAAACAAATGTACTCATGTACTCAGTGGTGTGGGATGCTGATAGTCAGGGAGGGAGCAGGCAGGGAATGATATGGGAACGCTCTTAATTTCTTCCTCAATTTGCTGTAAACCTAAAACTACTTTAAAAAACAAAATCTATTTAAAAGAGGCAAGAAAACCAATAAAGACTAATTACATTTGATTTGTTACCGATTCCTTCAACATTAAAAATTACTTCATGCATATTATTCCCCCTTGTTCTGGGTCTTCACCCCTCTTTTCTGGGTCTTCACCCCTCTTTTCCTTGATGCATTTGTGGGTGGTCTGCGTTATTTGCATTCCAATGTTCCAATATTCTCTAGTTGTCTTGCCTTTTCAAATTTAAAAGATTCTGGATACAGAAATCATTCCTTGTACTTTGTAACTATCACACATGGTTTAACACTAATAACAAATTGGAGAATTCTATATATGACATATAATCAATTCTCAGAAGCCTTCTTTTTCTGCGAAGCCCAATCAATTCCAGAAGTTAGCTCTCTCAACGAACACATTGATGCCACCATCTCTGACCTCTGTGAGAACTTTTCCTCTATGTATTACAACATGTTTCCTGGGTGTGACTGTCCTTCACCCAGAAAGGAGCGCTCCTGTCTGCACTTTTCACTTTAACCCTTGTGCATCACCCTGTGCTGTGCTCTCATCAATAATCCCTTAGGTAATTCTTACTTCCTGTCCCCATTTCCTTCTCCATCCCCAGGAGTCACAGGGTGCAACAATATGTCAGGACAAGGCCACCTCCTCAGCTCTCTGGTCAGTTGCCCTCTCTCCTAACTGAGAAATAACTCTGAAAAATGAAGGCACACGTATAGATTTCCACAAAGGGAATTATGGCTAGCTTATCATTTACTCTGATACTGCTTGAAGAACTAAAAACAAAACAAAATAAACAGAGATGCTTTGGTAAATCAGTCATAGGTCTGTGTTGGTGTTCTTTCTCTCTTGCTTCAACAGCTCTCTGATGGTCTCCATCTCCGCAGCAGTGAACTTGGGGGTTAGAGCCACATTGTCATAATCAAATTCTTCATCAAGTGAGAAGGGCTGGACTTCATCACCAAATATCTATAAAGGTAACAAAGGAAGAAAAAACATTAATAATTATTGTAAATGAAGATAAAGTTGAAAACACAAACTCCCTACTAATAATTAATTAAACTTTTTTTAGACATCAACATTCTCATCTAATTAAGCTGTTTTTAAGTAAAGAAATAAATTCAATTATTCAGGACTTAATTTAGGACTCTTAATATGCCCCATTTGTACCATGCTGTATCTGAATGAATATCATTAACTAATTCTGCCCAAGGCAAGAATCAGAAAGTCTCCCCAGCACACATTCATTACCATTACATTTTTTACCACTTGTARTGACAGGGATAGAGACACACGTGGGAAAACAGGAGTCACATTAAAATGCAAGAAAATATGCCTTAAGATTGGACCAACCTTAAGTACATTTTCACCGTTTACTAAAAAGACCCATATTAATAAGACACAATTTTCAAAGATAAAAACAGACTACCCTTATTATCATTCTTCAGATAATACCCATAATACCTAGCTAATAACAATAGCTATGAAAACACACAGCATTATCTTAAATTGAAAAGCTCAGAATCCCATTTTTTTCTACCAATAATTTAAAAAAATATAACAGCTTATGTAAAGTCAGAGTAGCTGCAAAGAGATAAAATAAATTTTATCTATTTATTCAAAACTTGTGAGTCTTTAAGATTTTCTAGAGGAAAATAAATACAAAGCATATTTTCTAATAAACAGAAAAAGAATGCCTACATCTCATTATACCATGCCCTAAAAAAAAACCTCCAAATGGTGTGTATGATACAATGAAATCAACCTGCACCTCTATCTAACTCTATATGTACAGTGCTACTGAACACTATGGTTCATGAAAGAATGAAAAAAATATATATCCTGAAACTATAGTCTGCTTTAAATATTCTTGCATGGAAGATGATCTCATTGAGTAGCTTTTGCAATGTTTGTAAAAATGGAGCATACTGCTCAGAAACTATACACTGCTGCCCCAGGTGAAAAGGAAATCATGAAAAGTAGATTTCTGCTATCTGTTTGGCGTGTTTTGTAGTTAGGTGTGCAGTGCTAAGAGCAAACAACCAGCCATTTACCATCCTTTCTTAGTAAAGCAACAAGAGAACAAATTCCATTGGCTGAGTCATTCCCTTTTTATTAGAAAGTACCCGCATGCTTTCTTGACAAAAGTAATGGCAAGAGCTGCCATTGACTAACTTGAACTTGTGATACTCCTGCCTTAGCTTAGCCTCCCAAACCACTGAGATTACAGGCATGCACCATTATGCCAGGCTATAAACTCATTCTTAAAATGCCAGTGTGAAGATTTTTATTCATTTATAATAAACTTTTGGGTATAAAAAGATACTTAAGTATATAATTTCTTCACTTAGAAACTAAGAATTATTAACAACTGATATTGTTAAATTATTTTCCTGGGTAGTCTGTTAAATGCTGAAATAGAAAGGCAAGAAACCAAAGATACAATAATTTCACATTTGCAATGGCCAAATATGATACTCCGGATATTTTAAACCRTTTAGGGGATATAATTCCACATGGCCAGTTTACCCCTGAGTCAAAATGTTAGAGGAATCATTCAGCTATTTTCCATTCTTTCCACAAACTCTGTTCCTTTAAATTCTAGGCATTGTGTAAGGTGCTGTGAATACAAATATGAAGACTTGCATGAAATCACAGACAAATGAGGTAAATACATAAACAATCACTATAATAAAATGTGGTAAGCACAAATGGTATAGATAAGAGGTGATGGAGACAGAGAAGGGCCACTTCCCCAGACCAGGTTGGAGGGGGTTGGAAAGAAAGCCGAGACTGCTAGAAAGGGTGTACAAGGTAACAAGGCTGAGAGGAAACAGCTTTGCAGGGGAAATGCAATGCAGGATTAAAAATAAGATGCAGAACTGCACATTCCTGCATCTGAAAGGAGTTCAGCATTGTCACACTATAAGCTGTAAAAAAAGTGGCAAGAGATGGCAATAATGCCAAGTCATCATAGAGAAGATGGAAAGTCCCCGAAGGATTTTCTTTTTAAACAGGGCGGACACTTGGTCCTCTATACATTTCAGCCAAACTCCTTCATTTATTCAACTGTCTACTGAGTGCCCACAATAAAATAGGAGCTGGAGTACAAAAAAGAAAGATGCCCTGCCTTCTTGGAGATTGTATCAACACAGCTCATTGTGAAGGTTAAACAGAGGGTAGATCTGAGGGGCATGAGATGGTAGGCTACTGAGATCCTGCTGAAGCAGTCCAGGCAAGAAATAATGAGAACAGGGCAAGGGTAGCAAAGATTGAAAAAAATATTTAGAAAGTAAAATTAGCAGTGCTTGATGACTGACTAGATATGGAAATGGCTGAAGGGAGAAGAGTATAGGAAGGGAAGCAGGTAAAGATGAGTTCAGTGGTTAACATGTTGAATTCAAGGTACCTGAAAGAAGCCAGATAGAGATCACTTAAATATACAAACCTAAGGCTCAGGAAAAAAAAGGCCTAAAGCTAGAGATACTGATTTGGAAACATAACAGGTAGTGATTTAATATGAAAATGCACCCAAGTATGTAGCATAGGGAAAACCACACTAAGCAGGAACCCTGGGGAACACCAATTCATTAAGGATGGATGGGGAAAAAAAACCAAAGGAGGCAGAGAAGAACAATCAGAGAAGTACACAGTCAGAGAACAGGGAAGTAAGAACAAGTGAAACAAGAGCATCAGGGGAAGATCAGTGGTGTCACAGTACAGGGATCCATTAAAATAAAGATTGCAAGTGTCTACTCGATGGGATCATTGTGAAGTAATTGGTTTCTCCTTTCTGATAACATCCAGGCAGTTGATGGAGATCAAGCACACTGAGCACCACACTGAATGAGTRAAAAGGAAGGAAGATCAACCAGTAGAACCTAATGCTTCTGAAATTGTGGGGGTGGGGACAGAAGAAGAGAGAGAGGAAGAGAGAAAATAAATATAAACACACAGTAACCAAAGAGAGGTCCAAGGGGAAGGGAAGGTTGCTTTTCCTTGTTCTGTTCTGGTTTGTTGAGGATGAGAGAGATTTGAACACGTTTGCAAGTTGAAGGGGATGAATCAAGAGAGAAGAAAGGAGAAAATGACCCCAACCATGTTATTTGTTCACTCCATAAAAATGTCTTGTATGGTACTAAGATCAACACTCATTCTGACCTTTTGCATTTGAACTTAATAAGCTTATGAAGACATGCTTGAGTGAATTTACACTCCTCCAAGACAAGGGACACATATGTGATTCAAAGGAGGACTGCAGTTCAGAAAACATCACTGTGACCTCCAAAGTGATAGCTTTTAAAATACACCAAGGTTGGATTTCTATTTCTGTGTTTCAACTTGTGGGTGCTGAAGTGCACTCCAAGAATTCTCTTCTTCTAAGCTGGGTTCATTTTAGGGTTCTAAGCTATTAAGACTCCAAGGTCTTCAATTCCAAACAGAAATTCTGATTTATTTCAAAGAAGAATTTGTTCAGTAGAACACTAACTCCCCTGCTGCTAAACAAACAAAGAAACAAACGAAAAAAACTTGTGAATTAAGTTATTAACTTGTTATTTTTGCCCAAGGAGCTGAGAGGAATGTGTGGATTTCAGGTGTCTAATTTCAAATCTAATTGAAATCTTTTTGTAGCCTCTCAGAGAATCGAATCTGTGCACTATTAGAAAACCCCAAGTTTCCTTTAAATTACTCATGTGACTTATTCTAACAGAGACCCTGTTAGACACATTTTCATTCATAGTACCACATAGGCAAATTAAAGAAAACAGAACTCATGCTCAAGTCAATAATGGCACCATTTAGCTGTAGGCAAGTGTACAAAATAATATGGTAAATAAACTCTYTTCACAGTTGGCAAAATAGGAGATCTCCTATTAAAACACAGCTCAAGTTTCTTCTGTGACTTCTTCTATGGCTTCTACAGTTTTTCCTCTTTCCAATGTGAACTCATTTTGCTCTATAAAGGTGTTCAAAACTTCCAAGATTCCTCAAAATAGAGCAACCACGGCAAGAAGTTATTTACAAATAAGAAGAGGAAAGTTCTTGGAAAATGTTGGACTCTAAGAGGAAAATGCATGCCTATAAAACCATAATTAAAAAGAGGAAAATTTTAAAAAGACCCAATCCATATCAGAAAGTTGATGGGCTCTTAATAGGCAAGTAAGAGGAAGGCAGGACATTCAGGACAAATGTTCATCTTTCCAGACTGAAGTCACAGAAAGCAAGTACCATTTCCAGCCCCCAAATGGCCTTCTGGTAGGCCCTTACAAGACATATTTCTGGAAACTAATGATTATGTTCTTTTACTGACATTAGATGCTTTCAAATAAGATTAATGCTATTAAACCAAGAAACAGATGGTGTAATATTGTGAATCTAGACAGTTGTGGAAAGCCTCTCAAAAAAGTAAAAATGATTAGAAATAAAAATTCCAACCAAAATATTAGTCTGGATATTCCAAAGACACCAAAAGTCATTCATTGATGGCTGAGAAGTTTGCCAACACAAAAATTTTTCATATCATTTTAATTCCAATGTTAAAAAATGTTTATATTTTCTGTAAAATTAAGAAATTTATATTCAGGTTTAAAATACATTTAGACAGTTTTAATTTGGGCTATTGGATAGATCTCAGCGAACATTAAACTTTTTTTTAACCCACTAACTGAAAACACTTTATGACAATTTTTATAATTGTCCTACAATATGTATATTCTATAATTGTACCTAGGTATAATCAAATTCTTATAAAGTATCAGGTTCCAGGTCCACTAGCCAGTCCAATAACTTGTATAGTTGCAACTGAAGTCAAGAACATAAACGGGTCTTCAAAAGAAACAGGTTTCTGCTAGAAATAACCTTGCAATTTTAGCTCCTTACAACTCAGAGAAAGCAATCTATAATTCAAAAAGCATATTGAAAAGTGGCTGTCCCAATCGATTTCTCTGGTAACCAATTTGGGAGTTTAATATAAGCCTTCAAGCATCCTGGGGTATACTTTTGTGATGTCAGTGAACAAAAATACTATGAGAAAAAGAACAATCTAAAACTGAAATGTGTGGATTATTTCTGATGGAATGAGTAATTCAATAACAGAATGTCTTCTAGTGACAAGTACCTGAACAATTAAAATAATCAAGAGTGGTCCTAGGGGTTTTATTAGAAAGTAACAATGAAGAGCCCTTAGCAAGGTCTTGTGCCTGATTCCCTTTACCTTAGAGCAAGAAGGGTGAGAAAGGTAACTTCCCTGCACCATCATCAACTTCTACTGCTGCACATTTGCTAAGTGCATAGAAGAGTCGCAAAATAATAGCAAAAGATGACCTCCAAGTTTTACATCTGGGAAAGTAAATGTAGAGCAGAGATTCCATTCTTCCCTGTGTTTGATGCATATGTTTAGATGACATTTCTCAGGCTCCTCGGTGGCTAAACATGAAGATGCAACTAAGTGTTTGAYAAAGGAATGTGAGCAGCAACGAAGGACCCTGGGTCCTCAGCCTTGCAGTGGAATACTGCTCCCAAGCTCCCATCTCCTGCCCCTGCATTTATAAAGGTGACCTGATTCAGAGGAGGACATGCAGAAGAGGACATTTTCCCAAGGGTAGTGGACATCCAGAGAGAAAGAAACTGGGTCCTTGATGATGCCACCTGGTTACTTTAAGAGCCTCTACAGACTGTCAAATGAGAGAAATAAACTTCTACTTCCCATTAAATTATTATTGGGATTCTCTGTGATAGCAGCCTGACCTGACCTTAACTAATACAAAAGGTTCACAGTACCTTAGAAATAATGATAATAAGAAACATAGCCAGTTCAGACTAACAGAGATAAGAAATTGTCTGTTCCTTGTAATTCGTGGTCCCTAGGTGGTACTGTTCTATAGCCTTGCATACAGCATTAAACAAAAATAGTTTCCACATAAAAACACAAGTGTTCTATGGGTTTAAAAAGAAATATACACATTAGAGATACATAAAAGTGAGAGGGATCAATTAAACTACTTCAATTCTAAATTTTCCCAAACCTGAGAAAAATACAAAAGCACATGGGTATAAAAAGGACAAATTACAAAATCCAGGCTGTGTTGAAATGAATTCCCTGTGCAGTACCTCCTCTGCTTGCTTCTCTGTTCTCTTAACAGTGGGATTTGGCTTCCCCTCAGCAGCGAGAGGCTTGTCCACAGAAGGAATGAAAGAACAAACACTGGTGCTCACATCCTCTTCCACTTGTCCTGGAAGCAGCAGGAAATCTGTTGGATACAAAGGTTCAATTGATCTTCTGCCAAGTCCATCATTTACCTAAGTCATCTAAAAACCTTAGAATAGTCAAAAAAGTGAGTTAGACATGCCCATGCAAAACAGGCCCATTTCATTTGAGAAACTGACTCCAGGGATACCCTTTCTGTAAAATAGGATGCTGATGCATTTATTTTTATCTTACTGTTGCAAAGTTACAATCCATCCAAAGGGTTTGGCAGAAATGCTGGTTCTGGAGTACCTTGACTGTGCCTTGCACTCCTAGCCCAATTTCTACTTCTACAGGAAAACAAGGAAGATGCTACTTTTGTCTAATTTTTCCATATTTTCCTTAGGGGTGAAGAAAAAGAAAATGGAGTGTTGATTTCATCCTGTAACAATACAGCAATATTTCAAATATATATAACATATATATATATATATATATATATATATATTATAAAACAATGATGCTAGAAGGGAAGTACTTTAACTTTCAGCAGAAAAATGAAGTACTCTATCATATTCAAAATGCATGGTCTCATTTTCAACACTCGCAAACAACAACCTGTTTCCTGCTTGCTCAGCCCAAACACAAGAATTCAATAACCAATCTTGGTTTTCTGGCCAATTCATTATAAATGGATATGTTCCCTTATCTTCACATAGTTCATGAATACATCACAGACAACCAGTGATATTCCACAGCCTTCTTGAAGGAAGACAGACAAATCGAAGCACAACAGGTTTCTTCCTCAGTCTGAATTTCCATCAGGCCAGAGGGGCTAGCCAGAGCTAGCCAGGAATTTGCAGCTGGCTCAGGATTCTGCTGCTTGCTACTCGAGGATGATCCTAATGAAGCTGCTAATTAAGTCCTCAGTGGAACTGATTAATTACCAACAGGCTTGCCTTGGCTGTTGCCAGTGGCAGCATATATAAGGAGATAACTGAGCAGGTACTGATCCTCAAAAACTGAAATTAATATTTGAAATGCATCTCTCACCACAGTAGATATCACCCTCACAAAAATATCCTCATAAATTCTTGGGACATAGTCAGGAAACTGAGAATTGCAGTGGGGAGATGGTGACAAGGGTAGCTCTGCTATGATCAGTTTTTGAAATCTTAGAATATGATCTCACTCATTAGCAGAAATAAAAACAATGATACCAGCCAACATTTACATGCCCAGCACTTTGTATGCATTAACACAGCTAATCCTCCCAATTGCTCTGTTATTTCCTGTGTTGCAATCAATGAGCTCTGAGCACTGAATAACCTTGCTTGATTCCACAGCAACAAAGAGCAGAGCCAAGCAGTCTATCCACGAGCTCATATTTTAGCCCATGATGTCAATCATGAACTTCTAAAAATAAGCATTTTCATTACATGTTTTATTTAACTTGATCAAATTATACACTTAAACTCAGGGTCAAGAAATGTCACTACTGTAGCACATTATCTTGGTTATATAGCAGAGTATACACAGAGAAGTAACGTTTAAATCCAATATGGCTGGCTGACAGAGTGGCACTGTAATGAACCTGTTTATGAGTTCAAAGCTAAATTCCCTCACTGAGCTCCTTGTGGCATGGCCTAGGACTGATCCAAGCCTGGCTAGGGCCTGCCACAACAAGACAAGAAAGAGAAAGTTCAGATCTCTTAATGTGAAAACCAATATCTCCTGGACCCATTAGCTGCCAGTGCAGCATCAGTTCAAATGTGAAATCAAAATCAATCGTGCTTCCAAGGCTATTTAAGATCATTGTTCTGAATGACAAACAGTGCTGTGAGGAGGACACGGCTGTACTCGCTTTACTAAAACTCTTCACTTCCCCAATCTATTTGCAAAGAAGGTAGGATTTTCAACAAAATTTGTTTCACAACAGTTCTACTACCATGGGAACAATTCTTTCAAAACAACAAGACTGTATGCTCCACATGTTAAATTCCTGTCATTTGTTTCTTCAGTGTAAAGGGAAATGCACCAATGCATATCTATTGGTGCCTAACATAGTACCTTCTGCTTAGTGAATTCACAACCAATACCTGGAGACAGGAGATGAATTCCCTATGGGTCAGCTTTTAAACTGAACAGAAAGGATCAAGAGTCTACCTGCCAATAGGATTTTGTAGATTTTCCCTCAAAAATGAAAGATTATTACAGGATAATTCTTTCACATTTAAAATCAGTCAGAATAATCAAGAACAAAATTGAATGTCTCTAACTCTGAAGATGACAGATTTACAAAAGGGTAAAATGACATGAACAAAAATAGCCCAGCAGGGTACATGTTACGAAGAAAGCTGCAGTCTTGTAGCCATTTTACAATTGTAGGTATGTTATTTATGCACAAGCCCATATTCTCTCAGGAGGAAAAATTATTGTATTCACTGATGGTGGTGAATAGGATTTCTGAAATTCCTTATAAAACTTTCTAAAACTGAAGTGTTTTAAGAGACTTAACCCAATCCTAACTATTATCTCTAAAACATCCAAAGCCTCATTTTTATCCTAACTAAATGTCACTGTGTTGGCTGATATGAGCCACAGGGCAACTTCCAGAAATGAATGGCAAGACTGATTGGAACATTTTAATTTCATCTTAAGAATGAAGAATTTGGTGGGCAGACTGAAGAATTTCTAATATTTATGAACTATCTATTCATGTCATTTGTCTATTGGTTTTAGTCAATGATCAGCAAGTCAAAGGTTATTATCCATGTAATCTGATATATTAAAAAGTCACCAATCTAATTCAGACTACAATAACATTTAATCTGCCCAGCATATTTATAAAATTAACCAATCTGTTCATTTGCTACTAATGTTAACTTTTCATCACTATGACAAACATCTGAGGAAAACTACTTTGAGGAGGAAAGATTTATTCTGGCTCCTGGTTCCAGAGGTTTCAGGGCCTGGTCAGTTCTGCTTTGGACCCAAAGTGAGGCAGAACATCATGGCAAAAGGCCCTAGCAGAGAAAATCTGCCCAACTGATGGCAGCCAGGAAGCAGAGAAGAGAACAAAATAAGGGCTGGTGATAAAACATAGTCCTCAAGGGTACACCCTATGGCCTGCTTCCCCCAACATGTCCACCTGCCTACAGCTTCTACCCCATCCCAGCAGTCCATTGAGCTATCTGAAGATTGATTAATCCACTGATGAAGTCAGAGCCCTCAGGATCCCATCAATTCGATAAAATTGCACCCTGAGCATTGTTGCAATATATGAATATATCAATATATGAATCTTTGGGGGACACTTCATATCCAAACTGTAACAGTTACCATGTAAAATAGCTGATAGTTCCTGAAAGTTCAGACTTCTACATCCAAAAGGAATATGTTTAAGAAATGCATTAGCCATCCCTCAACACATAGCTGCCAGCTAGGAAAATCTACTTCAGTGGTTCTTAAAAATTATTTAAGATCCCAAAGAGCTTTTGTATATATGGGTTATATATATACATATATTCTAAATCTATATTTAATCAGAATACTACTTTAAAGCTCACAAACATTACAATACTATTTAATGAATCATTAAAATTAATCCTATTTACATATCCAAATATTTTCATGAAAAACATATTTTCCCAAAACAAAGAAAATAGTGACAAGTGTTATTTTTTTAAAAATCTATTTAATGTTTGGCTTAAGGAAGAAAGCTGAATTCTATATTTGTTTCTTCAATTTTTAAAATATCCTGTTTCAGTTAAAGTAAACGAAGATCTACTCTTACACTGATAAGTAGTTGGAAAGGGAAAATTTATCTTGTCTTTTTTATATAATTATGAATATTTTTCATTACTACACCAGAAGGTGACAAATGATAGGGTTTTTTTTAAAGTTAGTTTTGGCAAAAAAATCTGAAACCATATTGTTAAATTTTTCACATTGGTCATTAAAATCCATTGGTCTATCTCACAAGTTGATGGTTATTTCCTCTATGCAAAATTTTGTAACATCATGAATTTCTTACTTGGAAAATATTGATTCACTGTGTTATGCAGATCTTCCAAATGTTGACATACTTCATTATGCAGAATAAAAACCACATTAGTTTATATCAGCATTTTTACCAAAAAAGCTTTCAAATATTGAGAAGCCATCAAGCTCACAGTACTGGATATAAGTTTTCTAAAATCTTAATTTCACTTGACCTATTGCCAATTTTGTCATTAGCAATGAATACTATCAGTTGCTTTCCTTGAAGAGACAGACTCACATCACTCATTTTGCAGAACTATAGTTTGTGTGTCAGTCATTCTTTCAAGTAAAAATGGTGATTCATGAAAGGGAAAAACTAGTTTAGCATACCACTTAATCACTTGTATTTTTCTATAAGACAACCAGTGTATCTCCATATGCAGCAGAAGTGCTTTGGGGGAATTTGCTATTTCGGCACATAAATCATTACAAATCATCTCAGGCTTTCAGAGAACCAAGATTTAGAAAAAAGAGGAAATTTTACTAATTCATCAAGGGAATTTTCAATGGAAATTGGCATTTGTTTTGACTATAAATTTATAACAAATTATTTATAACTACTAGTATGTTTTGGTGAAACTACCTTAATTGACACTAAGGTACCAGCTTCTCCACCAATCAGTGCTTTTGCAACATCAGTGCAACTATCAACACACTTGACCTATAGATCTCAGGGTTTCCCAACAGTTCCCACATTGCAAGGCAAGTTTCCCAATAGCAAGATAATAGATTTAAATCTAAATAATTTCACTACATTAAATATAAGTGAACTAACACATTCTGATTAAATATAGATTTAGAATATGTGTCTATGTGTATATGTATATATGTGTGTTTACATAAATGCATTTATATAAACCTTATGCTGCTTACAAGCAACCTAAAACACACTTTGCAAAGAAAAAAAAAAGATGCAGAACAAAGGAAAGTAGAAGTGCAGAAGAAAATTACTGCTCATCCAAGTAGAAGTTAGGGAAAAATAGGGAAGACTTACTTTGTGAATGGGGCATTTGACAGCAATAGTAAATCATAACCATCTATCATACAAGTACAAAGATAAATGTATGCAGGAGTTAGAAAAATAAAAATCAAAGTATAAACTTTCTAACTTACTGGCAGAGCTGATTTTGAAAACTGGGCTTGTCCAGAGTTAAAATTGGGCTTCTGTTAGCAGGCCTTCCTTTCARGCCTAGACATTTGACTACTCCCCACTAAGAGAAGGTCTGCACAGCTGGCACCCAGGTGTAGCTTCATACCCCCACATTCCATAAATGGGAACTCCAAGAGAAACASCCCCAGACTCCCATCTAGAGATGATTCCCTGCTGTAACTGCACCTTAGAATCACTTGGGGAGCTTTCCAAATGCTGATGCCTGGAACAGACATCAGACCACTAAGGCAGATTCTCCAATACAGGACCAGCCATCAAAGAATGGTCTCTAATATGAAAGAATGAAAGGCCATGAAAGAATGATCTCTAATAGTTCTAAATAAAAAAAATAAAATGTCTAAATTTTAAGTTGGCTGAAATGTGCCCTTTTCTCCTAGCTTAGGACCTCTACACATGCTGCTCCTACACTTTCCTCTCTCCCCTACCCTCACCTACCCACGTATCTAGTTCTTGGTTACTCATCCTTTGGATCTTAGGCTTTCAGAGAGCTTTTTCTGATACCTTAGACAAACTAAAGTTCCCCTGCCCTATGCTTTCATGAGATCTAGAACAATCTATAATCATATATTTGTGATTGCATGATAAGTGCCTAATTCTTCCAATGAATTGTGAATTATAAGGAGGGGAATCTGTTGTCTTTCATTCTTCATTATGTTCCGGACCAGCTGTACTTCTAATATTTGTTGAATAAGAATCCTGGTCATTCATAGGTTGCCCAAAATTGGTTAAAGTTGCAGATAACTAAGGAATTTTTTTAAATTGTATGTACTCACCCTTTCTTAACTAAAAATGATTAGAAGTACTAGAGAACTTAAAAATAAAAAATTACTGCCAATGACTGAGCAGTAATCAGTGCCTGTTTCATTCAACACAATTAGCCACCATATAAATCCACCCACTGGCCAAGAGACCTATAGAAGAAAGCATGATTTTAACAACTGGACCTCAAAAAAATAATCTCTTGAGCCATCTGCACTCAGCCCGGAAAAGAGGTAGGATCAACTATGGAGGCAAAAATAATTATAATCATAACAATGAACATAAGAGTCTTCCTACTTTAATGGCCTCAGCATAACAACTAACAGCTATTCCAAATTATAATTTTGCTGGAGAACAGTTTGAGCTATTGTATCTGAGGCATGACAGTCACCAGGCTAACTACCTTACCTTAAATTTGAAGGAGAAAAACTGGTTAACTTGATGTCAAATAAACACAGGGCACCTAGCATCCTGGCAAATGTCACCCTCAGACAACTGCTCAATACCACTGCACAAAGTTGGTTCCTCTGAAAAACTGTCTCCACTCTCTCCACCTGGGCTGCCAAAATGCTAATCCAAATATTGAGAAAGAATCTCGTTCCTGAATCTTAGAGAATATTTATGAGAATGAATAAGGTGAACAAATAAAATCAATGGTAGAAAAACAATATGCAACTCACTTTCTTGTTGCCCCAGGCAAGTCTGTTGCTTAAACAATAACAACAGAATCTAATCAGTAAACTTCCCAGCTGCCAAAATTATACAAGCAACTTGCCTATTTAAAATGTCACATTTCCCATCTGATATAAATATTTGCCTTCTGCTCACATTCCTGAAGTGTAATACAAATTAGGCCCAAACTAAAATTCACCTTGGCACAAACTATTTAATTTCTTTTTTCCTTTCAAGTGACCCAGATTGTATGAAAATTGTGATGCCCTGGTAGTCTTTTGGGTAATTAGAATAAATCACTGAAGACTGGATCGATCTTCAGCAGGGGCTTTGTACATTATTTTACATGTGGGAGGGTCTTGACCAGTTCGTTCAAGTCCACTGAGATTTGGTTTAGCTTCAGTAACCTTTATATACAAATGCAAGACTGCCTGTTATCTGCTTTCCGGAAAAATCATACTAGTGAGATGTTTATATTTCATTTTATGAAGAAAGGAATAAATCTGGTAATTAAAAGATGCAACTTGAAAATGTGTAAAGAAAAAGATGCAACAATAAAAGGAAAGGTTAAAAGGCTAATTTAAAAGATTAAATCGGAATTGCTGGCTATATTGGTTTATGTCAATATACAGACCTTATCTTTGCTAAACTTTGATAAGTTTAAACCACCACAAAAATGTGCAAAGTAGACAYATCTGTGTTCTTCTATAAAACTGATTTTACATAGCAAATGTATTACAGGCAGATTAGAACTGTCTTCAAGTGTCATCTTCAAACTAACCACATACAATTGCATGGAGTGTGGGTTCTGAATGCAGATCACCAGATGTCACTGCAGAGCTGAATTAGACTCTTAGGAGCAAGACCCAGGAATCTGCGTTTCTTACCATGCTTCCTTCTCCTAGTCACCCCAAACCCAAAACAGTGTGCTTGCTCTAAGCACTGCTTCCTAACAGTGCTTACCCCTCCCTTCTAGTCCAGTGGGAGCCCCCATACTTCCCACAGCAATTCAGAGCCATCCAGGGTATAGAGCTGGAGAAGCCTCCGTGGAAGATGTGATTCCTTTAGATCTCTGACCGCACTTAAATCAAATAAATAACTTAAAATCAGAGTCCACTGGTCAATACAATGCCTGAGAACCAACTCTTTGGTGGAGTAGTGTGATGTTTGGAAGTGGAATAAAAGTGCTGATTGCTTCTAATTACCAAAGTCTCACCAATTCAAACACCCAAAGCCAGAGTAAGGAATTGACAACCAATTTACAGACAGTTGCCATTCCCAAGCCAATTCTACCCAGTCACTTTAACTCCCAATTGAGTATTTAAAAAACCACCCTTCTGGGCTGGGGTTGTGGATTCTCAGCACCACATATAAATAAATGAATAAAATAAAGATCCATCAACACTAAAAAAAAATTTTTAAACCCCACCCTTCCCCCAACAATGACCACAATCCACCCAAAGACTGTAAACATCAGTTAGGTCAACTGACCTGTCCTTAAAGTTTAACCTTGACTTTTGAGACATTCTTGTATATTACATGAGAAATGGATGTTTTTTTTTTTTTTTAAAAAAAAAAAAAAAGAAAGAAACCCTAATTTTGAATATATTTCAAAGATCCTTTGACCAACAAAGGATACCTATGCTTACCCAGAGATATTAACAGGGAAAGGATAAACCCATCATGCATATAAACATCAATGGCCTAGCATGAAGTCCCTACCAGTCCAGCCCATTGCAAAAATGCCCACAAAAAAAAACATTTGCAACATGTCTGTATCTTCAGTAATTTACATATTTAATGGAGAGTTTTTAAAAACAAAAATTTGGATTTTCTTTTAGTTTATTTTTATGATCATTTCTGATATATTTATGATCTTTATGAGCGATCATTATTTCTTATTCTCAAAAATAATCTCCATTTACAACACTGTGTTTCTGAGAAATACGGAGATGACTTTATGACTTATCTCTACTTGAAATAATCACTCAAGAATCAATCATGTGGTAAATTGTAGGGACAGAGGGCACCTTCATTTCACTTAAGACCAAAGGTTTACAATCCTCCAAAGGCTTTGATCCAGCTGGAGAAACATTTGTTTTTGAAACAGAAATTTCCACAACTTCAGTTTTTCCTGTTTCATAGGAGGTAGAGGTAAGGATTGAGAGAGAGAGAGAGAGAGAGAGAGAGAGAGAGAGAGAGAGAGAGAGAGAGAGAAAGGAAGGAAGGAAGGAAGGAAGCTGTCTAAAGCCTTACTTGTACTTTTTTACTTGTAAAGTAGTTAGCAGTATGAAAAAGAAATAGAAAGCATACCCTTGCTCATTTGGGGCTCAATCTCTTCGTCCATATCAAAATCTTCTAAATCTAGGAAGTTGTCTACCTAGAAAAGGATTAACATTATTTTATGCATATTAGACTTGAAGAAAAAAAAATGCCATGAAGTCAATGAATCCACTTCCACAACACTCAACTGAGCAGCAGAAACTACATTTCTCATCARTTCTGACTTCCAGCTCAAACCCTTTGTGTTCATGTGCTTTCCCATTTGGAAAAAAGCAGTAAATTTGGATGCTRGCCTGGATTTTGCAAGCATCATAGTCAGCTCTCTATGATGAAAGGGAAAAAAAAAAAAGAGGTTGGGAGTTTCTGAAAAGAGACCTTGTCCCACATCCTCTCCCAGGATTTATACTACCACCAAGATAGTCCTAAACAGGGTTTCTGGTTTTTGTTTTTGTTGTATCGCTTCTTGAGCAAATGGTGGTGGTGAGGATCTGGCTATTAACATAACAGTCCACTTCCTTTTAATGTTGAAGAGCCAGAGAGAAGAAAAGAAAGAAAGCAGGAGAGAAGAGTTCATTCCAAACAAAATCATCCTGCCCCAGGTAAATCAGAAGAGAGGTGAGCAGGGCAAAAAAGCCAGTGTGCTCTCTTTCAAACAATTAAAACTGAAAATTACTTCAAAGGGAAAAAGCAGAGCAAGTGACCTTTACAGACACAATAGCWGCATTTCAATGAAAAACTATTCCACCTGGAATACTGCTTTCCAATGCAAACTGACAATGAGACATTTTATATTAGCAAAATGGTAACATTTCAGACATGAACTAATTCATCTCAGGGGAATATCAAGGAGTGTAAATAAGAAGATGATTTCACCAGTGGTACAAATGACAAGTAGTAAAAGCATAAGGTCGAAATGCATTTTTGTGCTCATGACCTAAACATGGGCCTAACAAAATACTTTAAAATTACAAACTTAGACTTCAGAATTGCAATTCAAAAGCAGGCTGACTTTCTCCTCCTAGTTCTACTTGTAATAACAGACACGGCTACTCCATAGGAATTTAAAATGGTAACTTCCATTGCTTATAAGTATATGAATGTGTTTATTACATGGCATCCAAAAGTATCTGCCATATGATGGTTTTAGTAGTAAAATTTGAATATCTATCATATTATGTTGTCATTTTTCTTAATGGTATATGCTAAAGGAGATTGAGGACACTTTACTCTCTCAAAGCACCCCTTCTATTTGTTAAGCTTTAAGGAAAAAATATCCAGAACCAAGCCAAGCAAGAATGGTTTAAGATATTCAAACACCAGTTAAAACAAACACACACACACACACACACACACACACACACACACACACACACACTCACACACAGAGAGAGAGAAAGAAAGAAAGAAAAGAGAGACACTAGCAAGGAAAAATGTGCTGAAATCTCCAACTTTGTATAAAAGAAAGCAAACGAGTCTTATGATGTTTGTTTGTTTGTTATGGGTTTTTTACCATGCAAGAAAATTGAATTGTGCCTTACCTTGATCTTTCCTGCCCTGTTCAGATCACCTTGAAGGGAACTGCCGACTTTTTGACCTTCATCCATCACTATCTGAAAATACAGTGAGGACATATTGATGGGAACATGAAACAACTAAAAATAAAGAAGCTGATCTTCTGCGATTTGTTAATTACTTATTCATGAAAGACTATTCTCTAAGCCATGGAAGTAATCAGGGAGCAGGTTTTAAGAGGTGTGACTTCTACTCCTGTCCTCTACAGCCTCATCTACAAGGTAACCTACAGACCAGTTAGCCCAGCATTTTCATGTGTGAAACAGAACACTCCCCACCTCCTATTCCTTCCAAGGAATCTGTGATGGACAAATCGGAGAATGCAATACAATATCTTCAGGTTACCAAAAAACAAGGCCATCTAGCAATTCTTTGCTTTTCACATGCTGATCAAAGAATCAATATATATTATAGACCCAATAACCAATAATTGCCAGTAAAGCATGAATCCTCTAAGAAAAAACAGTTCCTATCTCACAATCATCACTGAAAGCAAATTCTGGAAATAAGGAACCATAGGCCTCTGCTGTTTATTAACACATTGCTAACTCAGAGATTTTTGTTCCCTTGTGTAATCTCTTATATAATTACATAATCTYTTACATAGTTCTGTCTATAATATCACAAAGAAGACATGATAAGGCAGAAATAGAAACTAAATGGCTTAAAAAGTAGGACAATGTCTGCCATTATTCCTTGATAGTGTAAAAACAAAGCCAAGGAGAATATGAAGAGTCTCTAAAGTCTTGAAGATTAGKAAGGGAACACCCAACATTTACTGCAGAAGCCAAAACATTTTCTACTTTAAGTTAGCAAGAGATGGCTCTAGGGCAGGTAAAAGAAAGCCCCAATCTACACAAAGAAGTAGAGCAAGAAACTTTCCTTGCTATAAATAATAAATAATTTCCTTGATATAAATAATTTCAAGAATTTGTAGATGGCATATCCAACAAGGTTTTTAATACAGTCGGGATAACCAAATTACTGTCATAAATGACAACTGCTAAAATACTGAAATGTAATCATGATTTTCAATAAAATGCCCCAATGTCACTCCTAGAACTAGAAGTTACCAATCGAGTGACTGTCCAGTGTTTCTTATGGCTTCATTTTTAATTTATGAAGAACACCCTGGTTCTCATATTGTTTCCAAAATGTGCTACAGTATTACCTGTTCTTCTTCCGAACATTGTGATGAAGTCTGATGAAATACAGTTGTATTTCTAAGATGGTGGTCATTTGGTTCATTTTTATGAGTAAATTTTACTGAGGTAAATATTTTTCCAGAAGCGTCAGTTCCAAGTGCTCCTCTTTTGGTCACATTATCTTCTGAAATGATAAGTAGTATAGTATTAGAATGTATCYACCACATCTAATTCTGTTTATTTTGTGTTCATTTTTCCCTCCTCCAAAAATAATACTTTTCAAAGAACTGTACAAGCAATGCTTGAGGCATTAAGCCCTCTTAATTATCAAAAGTTATTTCTAAAAATGCACAGAATTACACTATTTCATTCAGCATTTAGCAAATATTTATTAACAAGTACCTACTATGGATCTAACACTATTCTTGGTCATTGTTAAAAGATCAATAAAATACAGTATTTGCAAGACTTTTAGACATTTTTAGACTTCTCACATTTTTGCTAAATTTTAGAGATTTTTTCCTTTACATAGAAACAATGTATGGATAGTTTTAGAAAATTTCTAAAAAGAAAAAAGTAAACTATGAAACAAACTCATAATCCCATGATCCAGAATAACCACAACAAAATATTTTCAATGATTATCTTTCTGCTCTTTTATTATGAATCATGTACTCCTAAAAATCAAAATGGAATCATGCTGCACATATTATAACACAATTTGCCAATGTTTCTTTTACTATTATTACATATTCTTTCATGTAATTTCAAGTTATAGAGCATTCTGTTATATAAATACAAAGTATTTTATTTAACCAATGTCTTTTCTGGACTACTTAAAATTACAAACAATAATACCTTTGAATTAAATCCATGCACATTCATGATAATCTCCTTAGGCTAAGGAAAGAGCCTGAGATTAATTTAAAATTAAGAGACTGAGAAAATTTTAATATTATGGTGCCATTAAACAGAAATGGAGGGTAATGGAGTAAGTTGGGTGAGAGACAGTAAATCTAGCTCTGGTCATGCTGCATTTGAGTTACCAGTGGAAACTGTGGTAGTAATGACCCAAATGAAGCTGCATTTGTAGGCTACAATGTGGGAGAGAGATCATAACTATAGGTAAATAGATGACCATCAATTATACTGAAGTAATAGCTTAAGCCAGAAAATTATTTTTAATATTAGTAGTAATATTAGGAGAATATTAAAATTAATGAGTGTTAAGTCATTGAGTAAAATGTTTTTATGAGCATCTCATGAATCATTGCATTTATAACTTGCAACACTGTTACTATCCCCACTTTAATTTACAGATAAGGAAACCAAGGCCAACAGAGAGATTAAGTAATTTGTTCAAGGATCAGAACTAGGCCTTCTTTTTCCAGACCCTTTTTTTTTCCTCCTAACCACTGTGCTTTGCTACCTAGAATAATACAGCAAATGAATGAAACGGTTCAGACTAGAAGAAGAAAAAAGATGGAAAATGTGAGGTGGGGGAGTCCAAGAAAGAAAAAAGAAGAAGAAAAGCATACAATTAGCCAAAGAAGACCCAAGGCTGCAAGATATAGTCCCAAACTGGAACTTGCTTGGTGACAAGAGCAAATATAGGAATCTCTGTTTCAGAATATAAGAAGAATGATTAAAAAAAAAATCCAAAAGCAGTCAAATGGCAGCAATCAAGCCACTGTCTATTGTCGGTTTCAGGAATCCTCCTGTAAGCCCTATGAGACTCTACCGTGAAAATGTTCCACAGATGCAGGGATRGTTTTGTCGTGCATTCCTCAGGTGGGTTTCTAATGAAGGCTTGTGAGATATCCTAAGTGGCAAAGTGCCCACACTCATTTCTCTTGAGCTATCAGTTACATGACATCAAAATCAGTGAGATGACCAGGCCGTTGTGATGATCACAGCCCAGTGCAAGTCCAGTGCTGAAATCCCTTGTTTGTTTCTGAATACCCTCCCTGTTGTTGGTAGAATTAAGACTTCTGGGGATGTCCACTGAAATACTGTTGGGGAACAGACATAACTTAACCTAATGTCATTAATAAGCTACAGGGGAAAAACACAAATATTGAATGTATCACTTTCTCTTGAAAAGGTCATATCCATGAATAACACATGCTCAGACCAGCTCTCTACAACCGTCTACTGCACTAGCACCAGAACTTCTAACTAGCCACTACAAGAGGTGATCTCTGCCTTTTGCTCCAACAAATCCCCAGCAACTCTGGCATAAAATCCCAGCCTTAGGTGCCAGGGATGGTGGGGCTGGGAGACTGAGCAAGGTGTTGGGAGGGTTGCTAAGACTACTGCTGAGGTGACCATAGAATAAGGAKGACCAAGTGGTCCAGGACTCCCAGATGTCTTCCTCTTTGATAGTCACAAAGATGTACTAAATCAGCCCCAAGGCAACTATGAGCAGTGGGAACAGGGTACAGYGAGATAGGCATGGAAAGCCTTGGAAACAGGAGTTAAGAGGAATGAAAGAGTTCTTCAAACTCTACCAAAGTTACAAGGGAAGAGAAGACTTCCTGTGGCTGCCACTGCTTCTCAGTACACTGCTGTAATAAGCCGTAGAACAGCTTCAGTTCTCCCTGTTCATCTTTAAAATCAAGCACAAGCTAAATCAACTATTTATTAAGAAAATACTATGCACCTGGCACAACACTGTTGTAAAAGTGTTGACTTAAACACTTGAAAAGCACAGCAATGTGTGAAAATAAAAGATGTTCTATAAGGACAACTTCCATTTGTTCTCATGATCACTCAATGTAATCCTCTGCCATTTCCAGTAAAACTCTCAAGTTATCTGACAGGTAACAAAATAAAAATCTTTTGAAATAAAGAACAAAATATAATCAAGTCCCAGCTTCTGATGTTGACATTGCACTATTGTTGGAGTCTCAGATCTAACAAAATTCTTGTCCACTCTGAAAGTTGCCCCCTTTTGTAAACATAGTTTTAATTTTTAAAACACCAAAAGAAGCAGTAAAGAACTTGTTCTGTGATTAAACCTATAGGTTAAGGCTCCTTCCTAAATGTTGAAATCAGTTTCACAAGAATACATACCATCTCCCTCCAAACACCCAAAACAGCTCCTTATAAAGGTTTTCATCAGTTTTTCAAACGAAGTACATAGTAACTCTATTGGCAGAACGAGATAGGAAAAAGTCCTTTTCAATATGATAATGTCAAAATGGCAGATGCTGGCATAGCCTAGAACCTGAAGTGGTGGACGGTCTGATTGCAGAGCCAGCTGCTGTCTCCCAGAGTGACCCTGGTGGCAATCTACACGTGCCACCCAACTGTTCATCCCCTCTTCTTCTGTTTCTGTTTTTCATCAGAGTTCCTTACTACCCTTTCATCTTACCCCTAATGTTTCTTCCTTTGAAATACATGCTAGGCATAATACAGCTTAGAAATCTAACAGCAATGTTTCAGAGAACAAGTAGGTTGAGACCTGAAAGAGTATTTCTTTGGGCATTTCTGAGCCAAAACTTCAATACATGAGACAAAGCTTTTCTAAAGGTGTTCAGAGGTTTCATTATTCTGAAGCAATGAAATTTCAATTTCCTTTTGATAACAGATAAGCTTCCAACAGACTGGCCTTACAAGGCCACCACAACACCTTCAGCCTCTAATTTGGGACAAAAGGAAAAGGTCACGTTCCTTGAAAAAAATGGAAACTTTTGATGCCCTGGTAAATTAGACACTAACCACATATTGATTATATATCTTCCAGATAAAGGTGATTATTTTTGGAGATCTTGATTTTGAAATAAACTTTTTTAAAACATTCAAATTCCTCCATGCAAAAGCCAGACAGATCAGTGCCCGTGTGCTGAGAAGCGTTTACACACTTTGAGAAAAGTTTTCTCAGACCTGCACAACCAAGATCACAATTCATGAGCAGATCCTGAGAGCAACCTCCAAGTGACTGTTACTCTGTACTACTATCAACAGCAACAGAAATCAAGAGCATGTCCCCAGTCACAAGATGCTGCATACACTGCTGGAAGGAAAGAAAAAATTCATGGGGGAGAATATTCTATGCAACTCAGGGCAATTGCAAAAAACCGTCTAATAAGAGAATAGGGGATAAGCAATCATGCTTTAACAAGGTTGGGTACTTTGAAAGTCAAGGGGTGATTTTCACATTATACTGCTAGCCTAGAGCAATGTTTCTCTGGACAATAATATTTGCTCTTGATTTGTCCAGCCAAACTACTTTACTCCACTGCTTCTTGATCACATGCTTCTTGGTATCTGGCCTCCCCTGGAGCAATAGTCGTTAGGATTAAATAAGCAATTTAAAAACCAATCAATCATAAATCAGGATAAGTCCAAAGAAGCTAAATTCAGCACATGAATGTTTTGTCTAAATTCCCTTTGCAGTGCTCTGAATTCCAACTGTTTTATGTTCTCTATTTGAAAGGGCACAGGGAGGAGAGGATTACCTCAGCCTGGCCAGTCAGGAGTAATTGTGCTTTCCCCCAGGCTGGATCATAATTGACTCATTATTCACAGTCACAGCCATCAACCTGCCAAGGCACAAATGCACAAGCCTGGCCTGGGTAAAAAAAWTTAAAAAAATGTATGTCAAAAGCCGTAGATGAGGGACACAATGGCAGTAAGATGAAATTTTTGAAATGTCCACAGTTAGGCACTTACAGAGCAAAAAATGTGGGAAAAAAAAGCATAAAGTTGCTGGAAGATTATTTTCAGGAAGAAAAATCTATGTGATAACTGGATTATGCAGGTAATCAAATCAAAAAGTTCTATTCTGGGCACCAACTATGTGCAAGGTTACACAGATGGGTAAGGCCCATCCTTGCTCTTACGGAGACTATAAATTATGAAGTTCTGGTATATGCAAGCTACCAAAATAGAAAGTACCCAAGGCAGACATTCAGAAAAATGGCAAAATCATAATTGGCTGGGGAGAATCACAGAAGACTTTACATAGGAAAAAGAGSATCTAAGCTGGGCTTTGAGAGAGAGCTACAATTTCAATAGGTGAGCACTGTGAGGAGGTTATTCCACAAGGGGAAAGTCCATGAGCAAACCTGCCAAGGTAAAATGCACAGGGCCTGCAGTAGWATCACTGAGTATTCGAGAAGATTGGAGCGCATATTCGGTGACAAATGGACAGATCAATGGAACAGTGTTCTTAAGAAG